GAAGACCTAAAATCCATTAAATTAAGTTAGGAAATTGTTTTATAAAATCTAAGATGCCACTTTTCCCATTTAAAAAAAAAGAAAAAAATCAAAACCTTAAAAGGCTTAAACTTTAAAGCTATAGAGCTAGAAGTCAAAAAGTTACAAGAATACAGGGTATCATGACTTGGTGGGGTGGGTCAGCCAAAACCCGAACCCGACTCAGGTTAACTAATCAAAACCCTAATAACCCGACCCTAAAGCCAAATATATTGACCCTAACCCGACCCCATAGGGTTGGGTCAAGCCGGGTTTACCATTTAACCTGATCCATTGACATCCCTAGTGGGATGGCTGCTGAATCCGGACTCTGTGATTTGGGGCCATAGGTACCTCTTTAAAAAAGTCAAATGGCTAACAAGAAATATGACTGGTAGGCAGATCAGCTAACTCTATGGCTGATTCACTTGCTAAACAGGGGGTTTCTCGGGACTATTTTGGGCTACCTTGTAATCATGTTCATATGATCTTGTAATGTTGTAATCAATCTTAAAGGAAAGGTCACATCTCGTGCCTTTCCTCGGGTCGCCTGTAACTCTTATTTTCTGGATTAATAAAATACTTATACATTGATAAAAAAAAAAGTGTGGGATTGGCAAATTGATATTGTGATGTTATTGGAGGTTACACCCAAGGGGTATTCTTTTGTCACTATGCCTCTTGAATAGGGATGATCATGGGTCAGGCCAGCCCAAGGCTCAGAGCCTAGGCTTAGCACCTATGATAAGGGATATAACCTGAACACATGTCTAAGACAAGTTTTGGGCCTATGACCTCAATATTAAATATTAAAAATTTATAATATATGACAAATAATAAATGCATATAATTTATGTTATACTTTATATAAATAACACATATATGTATATATATTATATATAAATATTAGTACGTTGGTCTAAGCCTAAAGTATTAGGCTCAAACTCAACCCATATATCTTTGAGCCTAATGAGGGTCCAAACCCAATGATGTAGTAGGGCTGGAATAATATCACAAGACAGAAAGAGATAGGAATAGAGAGAAAGGAGAAAGGGTAGAGAAAGAGAAAGAGAGAAATCCCAGGGAATCACTCCAAGGGTCCTAGAATCACTCTAGGGTTTGTAGGAATCACTCCATACAAAAAGCTTGCAAAAGAGCTCTCAAGAAATTTTCATTCATTAGCTTCAAAAGGAAGATAATACATCTATTTATAGAGTGACTTGTGTGGCCCGGAATACTATCATATAATAACAAAGATGCCACTCCTCTTGTGCATCAAGAAACACAATAGCTTTCTACATACTAATGCAAATAAACTGAAAATTGAAGGAGAAACCCTACTAAACTAGAGGAATAAGATGTTATACCCACATGGCAATGGTCAAAATGATGAAAATACCCATACTATCCAAACATATAGAAATACATAAAATTTCAAATTTGATTCTTTAGCTCCTATATTATTCTCCCCTGGTTCAAAAAAAAAAGTTCATCCTCGAGTTTTTATTTACTTAAAGATGAAAAGTCGGTGTACCTCAAAGACAAAAGGAGTAGTAATTCCCATAGCTACTTCAACACACTTAAACTGTAGAGTAGAGCCACACGCATAGCTAGAAACAGATCTTGAAAGCAATGTATGTCTGAAATACTGCTTTCCATAACCTTGTTTGCTAAATCATCAATAGCATTAGCTTCTTGAACACTTGCATCATCAATCATCCTATCTTGTGGTGAACTTCCCTTATCACTATGAACTTTCATATCCAAAATATCAACTACAACATTTGGGACTTTCCTTCAATCTCTAATTGAGAAATATATATATATATATATATATGAATAACAGAAACTGTACTATTAGACTAATAAAGAGAGAGTGCAAAGGAGAGAAAGGGAGAGATAAACTCTCTTAACCCTTCCAAAAACAGACAACATAATTACAATACAGCCCAAAATAAATGATCCCTTCCCACCCCTTTATTTGCAAGTGCATCAGCAAATAAATTAGCATACCTTTTCATCGATTGCACATTGATTTCCATTCCTCGAGACAGCCTTTTACTCCTTTTCACCTTTACATAGCACTATCATCCAGCCTCCTCTTCCTTCTTCAACCACTCAATAACCAACTTTGAATCCCCCTCAATAACTAACCTCTAGATATTCAGCTCTCTAGCCCTTTGAAGGCCTTCCAACACAACCATAATTTCAGTCCTCAAAGAATCACCAATACCAATCGATCCCGAGTAGACAGAAATGATACTACCTTCCTCATTTCTAAAGATGCCCCCAATGCTTGAGGGACCCAGATTTCCTTCACTACTCCCATCAAAATTCATTTTAATAAAACCAACTTAGTGGCCTTCTTTTTATTTCCCCTAGTATCAGTACTAGGGGTGAAAGTTCCATCAATATCAATAGCATCCATATCGGTGTTAACACTACCATGCTACAACTGAATATCATCAACATTGAACATGTTAAGGAATTGGTTTCGAGAGGAGCCAGTCATTCTTTTTAAATTCTAAAAAAATAAAAATTAATTTAATTGCATTTACCCGGATTGCCGATTTAAAATCCCAACTTGATTTCAATTTTCAAAGGTTGAAGCCTTTCAACTCCAAGAGTCCAAGCTTCCCAAATTGCTAACTTGAGATACTTGAGCTGTTCAACAAGCCTTCTTGTTGAAACTTCAATAAAGTTGAGAATTGAAGAATCAAAGAATGTATGAGAGGTTGAGAGATTGAGACTTGAGAGAGTATGAAAACTAGAGAATAGATTAAGAGAATTGTTGAATTGGTGTGATGAGAACGGGTGGGGGATAGGGCTATTTATAAGAATTGAAAATAATTCAATTTCCCAAGATACCCTAAAAACTAGTTGTTTTTAGTTGTTGGGAGAGATATTTTGTTCATTGTAAAGTTATTTATCACTTTACCCAAAAACCCCCAAACTAGCTGTTATATAGCTGTTGGGGGCATTTGTGCCATTATTTCTGCCCCCCAAAACCAAAATACATAAATACCCCCCTATATGGCTGTTTATAGCTTTTGGAGGGTATTTCTATAAAAGCAAACCCCAAAAAGGCTGAAACTAGCCGTTGGGGGTCCCCAATGGCTAGTTCATCGGGTGGGCCTAGCGTGGCTCACTACGGGCCCGTGGCTATGCCACGTGCCGAGCCGGCCCGTGGACCTGGAACCCCAGGCCCAACACGGCCCAAACCATCGTGCCGTGCCGTGCTGGGCTGGTCTAAATTTGGGCCGGTCCATAGGTGGCACGACCTGATTTACACCTCTATTTAACATTCTTGAAAAGCTTAATACTATAGACAATATTATTGGATCTATTTTCTTCCACCAACTTCTCAAATAAGTCAACCATAGACCCTTCATATGGTTCAAAAACCCAATCATCATTGATTCTAGACCTATGAGATTGTTTAGAATATACCCTAGGCCTATAGAATTGGTCACTTCGTGAGAACATAGTGACTAACCATTAACTCTAATACTAAAACTACTGTAAGAGGCTGGAATAAACTATCACAAGACAGAAAGAGAAAGGAATAGAGAGAGAGAGAAAGAGAGAGAGAGGAGAATGGGCAGAGAATGAGAAAGAAATCCCAAGGAATCACTCTAAGGGTCCTAGAATCACTCAAGGTTTGAAGGAATCACTCCATACAAAAAGCTTGCAAAAGAGCTCTCAAGAAATTTTCATTCATTAGTTTCAAAAGGCATCTATTTATAGGATGACTTGTATGAACTGGAAATACTATTCACCGTAATTACAAAAAATGCCACTCTTGTGCATCAAGAAACACAATAACTTTCTACCTACTAATGCAAATAAATTGAAAATTGAAAGAGAAGCCCTATTAAACCAGAGGAACAAGATGTTATAGCCCATACCGACAATGGGACTGGTCAAAATGACGAAAATACCCATACTATCCAATCATACAGAAATACATAAATTTCAGAAAATTCCAAATTTGATTTTTCAGCTCCTGCATTACCCAAGATGGGCTTTTAGGCCAGGCTGCAAATGACCACCCTACTTTTGATACACTCCTCTACCCTCTTCTTGACTTCTAAATTTTGTGGATGTATTTTAATTTCTGAAAAAATAAGGAAAACATTTAACACGAGATTATTTAAACTCACCCACAACTAATTCAGTTTCCTCTTTATCAGGAAACTGAATCTAAACACTCCTTTATAGAATATGGGGCATCTTTAACACCATGGATCACTCGTAGTGTCTACCTTGACAACACTTTTGGAAGCCTTGAAAATGGACATTCACAGCATCTGAGATAGATGGTAGAGAATGATGAAGGTCCATAGAGATACAATCATCTCTTAAGGGAAGCAAGATCACTAGCAGTAATAACAAACTAATTGTTACATTGTGTTAGAAGATCAGCCAATCAAATTGCTTATCTCTCTAGTTAGGGATGGGGTTCAAAGGGATGTACTTACTAGAGCTCAAGGAAGGGTATGGGGGATTGTCGCACAGTCAAGGGTTTGCACCTATGGACCTACTCTATAATATATCTTTAAAACCCACTTGATTGATTACCATTTTTATGATACCGGTTGATTGGTCATAAGTCTTTTCCGCATTATAGTCGAACCCCATCTGAAGATACTTATAAAACTTGTTGAACTTGTGTTGAATAAAAAATAAATAATAAATAAAGCATCCCTGTCCCTACCCGTAATACCAAAGGAATTCTAATAAAGTATTATTTTATTATAAGTAATAAAGTATTCATTCTTGATTCTATTACACAAAACCATTCTAAAAGAAAAGTATAAAAGATATCTATCCAAAGAAATAAGTGTAAAAGAAAAAAAGCATGGCCATTAAAATGCAAAATCATCGTATCCATAAAAAAACGGCATTAATCATCGATAAGAGTTAAATAATATATAATCAAATGATAAAAAGATCATAATCGGCAAGAAGAATAAACTAACCAATATTGTGAATTTAATCTCTGCGTTAAGCAGTGATTTTAGAGGAAGCTGTTTGTTTCAGAATAACAGCGGCATTTGTAGTAAAAAGCAACACTGCACGTCTCTGCACCGCCTCTGTTGGTCCGTCAAGGTCTATCCCTTTATTTCCTTCCCGTGAAAATTTATCGACAGATATTTTCCGACTCCACCCTCCCTCATTTAACTAATAACTTATGGAAATTCCAACGACTTTTATAATCTTCTGGCTCTGAGACCGGAAGACCTTTTCTTGCTGCTCTTGATAAAAGACGCCTTGGTGTCTGGTGTGCCGTGTGCGCCGCCTAACTAGGAAATATGTAAGGGCAAGATGGGCATTTCACTATCTAAGAGTTCGGCCCTTTCGATCATCGGTCAGTGGCTCGTTGAATTGTAGTTTGATTTTGACAAAAAAAAAAGTAAATTACAAAGATCCCACAGTATTATAATCATGAGATAAGAGACCCCATTGACCGTTAAGTCAGATGAAGGAATGCGTTAAATTACCAAAATACTTTATCTTTGTTTTGCTTTTTTTTTCTCTTCCCCCATCCCCCACCCCCACCGTCCTGTCTTACCTTTCAATTTCAACAAGAAAATAACACCCAAAAGAAGTATCTCTGATGAAGAGGTAAAATGATAACTTTGGTGAGAAATCTCTACAAAAAGAGTGGAAAAAAACACACCACCTCCTTAAGAAAGCAGAAGGTCCTATTCAAAAAAATAAGAAAAGGAAATACATTCTTGAAAGGCTTCATGGAATCTTTCAAGGGAGACCCAACAAAGAAGTTAAGTCAGTTGCAGGGTTCCAGCTTAAAGAAAAGAAATTTCCAAAGCCCTGAATGCAGTTTTTTCACCACTTGGTGTTCCTTATTGAATGTTTTCCGATGTAATCGAATCTCATTGCAACCTCTAAAGTCTAAAAAATCACTGTCAAATTAAAAGAGAGCTCGCTGCCTTTTTTCAAGAATTGCTTACCTGATAGTGAAGCAATCTCAGTACGAAGTCGGCGAATCCTCGTAGAACACAGTCCTTACAGAACCCCCTGAAAGCATCCACCTTGCGATCAAGACCCGTCATTTCATCTGAATCTCCTTCGACTTCACACGTTTGAAGGTCGAAGGCAGTCGTCCATGTCCACAGACACACACACAGAAGGAGGCTTCACACCTGAGGCTGAAGCTTCACCGCCAACCAAAGAACAGGAGAAATTTAAAGAAACCTCCACAACATTTCATCTTTCACCAATGCTTGTTGATCATGAAAATTTACAAAACAAAGCTAAGATGAGGTATATGCCACACTGAGTTTCGTTCTTATATGTTTCTTCAGATTTGAAGAAGAACTTTTTATCTTCTACTCTCCTCCTCCGGATTCTCAATTCTGGCACACCTACACCGGAGGAATGGTGCAGATGCCATTGGTCAACTCCATCTTTTCACCAGCAGCTTTGTTGTCGTTCCATACAGCTCCTCTTCAGAAGTGGTAGTCACCAAAGAAGCGTCGTCATGAGAGATGACGCAGTTGACACTCACAACAACGTTATCCACCTGGTTCAGATCATTCACCTAAAAGGAACAGAAAACAGAGGAAATTGTGAAGAGTAAAGGGGAGGAGAGAAAGGGGAAGGGGTAGAAGAGAGATCGAGGGAGAGAGAGGGTGAGGACTTCGGAAGTCTGCTGCTGCTGCAATAGTTACTGCCGCTGCTATTCGTGTATCGTGAGGTCGGGGATTAAAATACTGCTGCTGCAACAGTATTTTTCTTTGAATAGTTTATTATAAGAGTAATACGGGGATTAAAAAATATTGCAACGACGGATTTCAAGAGAAGGCTAACGAAAGGGGGTCTTTGTTACAGACCCCATAGTATAGGGGGTCTTTGTAATTTACCCAAAAAAAGTTGGTAGCTGAAATTCGAATTATATGCTTTGGGTGTAGGATGGCAATTATTTCCATTTGACGGGGATTCGACTTCCCCGAGTTGATGGGGTTGGTGAAAGGGATTGTTTTTGCGGGGTGGGACGGGGATGGGGATTGAGGTCTCACCCTGCTCGACTTTGATTATATATATAATAAATATACTAATATATATTAAATGTTATTTATATTAAATATACTATTATATTACATATATCAAAGTATATTTAAAACATTATTTATAATTTAAATTTTTATTTATTTTTCAAAAAAACACTGTTATCTAAAGACATTTCGAGGATTCGGGTTCCTATGGGGAAACCATCATTGTTGGGTATCAAGGGTGGCGGACAAATTTTATCCCCGATAGAGATTGAGGACAGGGATGGGGATAATTTCAGAATCGGGGTCGGAGACGGGGAATATGATCCCTACCCCGAACCCGCCCTATTGCCATTCCTATTTGGCTGTCTAATAGGAGTCTATGCCCCATAGGCAATCTTAGCATGCATTGGAAACATTTCCTATACTTGTTATTGGGAGACATGCTGCAAGGTGCCAATATAATCTCGCCTAGCAAGCTATGGGACCAATGATAATGTCCCACACCAACGATAAAATACATGGGCCCATGGAATAGTTTGATGTGAATTGAGTTAGAATCTATATTCGAAGGTCCTTGGATGGTTGCAAACCAATATGTATCTATTGCTGCCAAGGATGGGGCCGATGGCAACAAGGTAAATCTTCTTCCTTAGCCAAGGCCAATGTGTCTAACCTGAGAGTAAGAGAATACGTTAGAAGCCCCGGGTATTACCCTAGGGGCAGAGACTCCGATGGTCAAGTTAGTCAAGCGTAGGAGAGGGGTCGGACAAGGCCTGAGACGAAGACTCAGGCGAGGTCACTCGAGAGCTAATGAGCAAGAGAGCAAGAGTGAGCAAGATGGCTTTATCTGAAGAGGGGCACCCCTATTTATACTTAACCTTGCCTTGGGAGTAGTTGGAGGTGGTTAGCAAGTGGGCGGCAAGGATTGCATCCAATTGATGCCACGTTGTCACGGGGGTAATCGCTGGGGCCCCGTGCGGCACTCGAAATGGGCGA